GTGGAACTGAGGCTCGCTCTCGGGAGTAAGCGGGCTCCTCTCGCGAGGGTCTCTGGCAATGTCAAAGAGTAAAGGCGGGTGGTGACGGGTGATGAAGTCCCCGTGGCAGAAGCACACGTGTGTGGAGAAGCATCCATTGGAGCCCTCCGGGGTGAACTTGGGTGTGAAGAAGAACACCTTCCAGATGGCTGTGCCTGTGGGTGCAAAGACAGAAGGTGGGGCTGCGTTAGGTTCTACACAGCATCATGGTGTGCAACAGGGAGAGAACACGCAGGCACAGGGCCGCCACGTGCTTCGTGAGGGTGAAGGCTTATCACCCTTTACACAGGGGATGTGTTTGCATCACCTTTACGGGTCCAGTGTGTCAGGAGCACAGCGAAAGGGCGTGCTTGTTGGTTTGACGCCAACAGTGCAGAAGCAAAGGAAGGGTGGAGTCAGGAAGCAGAACTTGCTAGGCTGCAAATGTTAGCGTCTTAGTTCACTGCTGGGCAGCCAGCTCCCCACCCAGGACCAACTCACCCGTGAAGGAGCGAAGCTGCTGGGTCCTGGGGCAGCTGTCGGGTGACCAGCTCTTGGCCAGACCATATGATGACACCTAGGGTAGGCGGTCCGGCCCTTCTCCCTACGCCCTCCTGGGCTGGAAGCTCTGCTCAGACCTGTTCAGCATCCCACCAACACGCAAGCTTCCACGGGCAGACGGGTGGCTGTGCGGGAGGGGCACGGCCGGGCATCAAACCCTGGGTCTCCTGCCTGGAAGGCGAGGATCCCACCACTGGACACCACGGTGTCACTGATATGCCACCGCCTGTGTAACTGACCCACCAGCCACTCCTCGGAAGGAAGGCTGGGCAATCTCGTTCCGTAGAGAAAACCCAAAACTTCCTTGGAAACCCAAGGAGGGGTTCGCTGTGAGTCAGAACCAACTCAATGGCAGTGAGTTTTTTAGTTTTTTAGTGTTTTGTTAATTGACTGATTTACAGATGTGAAGACCTGGGCAAGTTACTAAGTGCTTCAGTCGCTGGGTTTGCTGCCACTAAGTTGGCCGTGGACTCCACGTGATCCCACGCACAAATGGTCGAAATACAAAGCACGAGCCCTACGTCGTCCCCACGAGCAGCTGTGGGTCAACCGCTGGGACCCGGAGGGTTTTATATGGCTGATTTTGGAAGTAGCTCACCAGGCCTCTCTCCCTGGTCTGTCTCAGTCT